GGCCAGCTGCACCGGCCAAGGCGGAGCACCCACCACGAATGGTGGCCGCAGACGGCACCTCCAAACGCTGCCAGCAGCAGCAGGAATTGCCGTAAGCGGCAGACCTCCATCACGATCCATGAGACGACCGGTAATCGCCAGTGACGACCCCCAGCCTGGGCGGTCTGGAAGGGCACTATACGCGTGCAGCGTCCCGCCCATGCCGTGTTTGACCACCTGCTGCCCGCTTGCCGCCCTCAGGCATCTAAAAAGCATCTGCTGCAAGCGCACGCATAGCAAATGGCGAGACTCAGTGTGGCAGACTGGACGGCGCCGCTGTGCTGCCAGACTGCAAGCGACACGAACCAGTCGCCCAGCCAGCCCGCCCTAGTTAGCCAAATCGCCGTCTTACCTTTCCCTAAGCATGCTCTATATCCGAGCCCGAACCCTGTCCAACGCGAAGCTTCCCATGCTGAAGTTTGCGCGAGCGCTGCTGATCAGCAATCCTCTTTTTTTTGCAGATGATTTTGCTGAATGACTTCCAATCATGTGGAGCCCGACCGCTGCAGCCCTCGGTTCCGATGCTTCCGGCGAATGGCAAGTATGAGGCACCCCGACGCTAGACACAGTGTTGTTATTGAGACCGGCCGGCGACGTGTTGCGTGCACTCCAAGTTGAGGCAATCTGCACTGCAGAACCGCCTTTGCAACGCCCCTGACGAAACACGATTTCGGGTATTGCGCGCGCCTCAGTTGCTGCATTCCATCACCTTGCGCGTCCATCAGGCCGGCCATAGCTGTTGCGGGGGCCTGCGGCTTGCTGGGTGCATCCACCTGTCCCGGACGCCTGTGTTGCAAGTCTTGCAAATCTTGCAATCCGCGTCCAGTTCCAAGGTTGCCTTTGCTGACCCGTCCAGCTAGCACCGGCGTCGTGAAGCATGATTGCTTATCGAGTCGCTTGCTTGGCCAGCAGCGCTAACCGTGAAACCGTGACGGAATTACACATGGCCAGAGCAGCAAGGGATACGCAGCCCGTAATCTATCGATAGCACTGAGCAGAGTCTGTGCCGCCGGTGATCCTGCTTCGCAATGCAATGAGGTTGTTGTTGGAACGGTGGAGCTTAGCAAAGCGAGCGCCGTCATACGTACAGTACATGAGCAGGGGTGTGGGTCGTGCTCGGTCCGTCGTCACTCTCTGCAAAAAAAGATGCCCACGTAATCACCTCTATTAACACATGGATGGCGATTGCTTGCAACCACCCGGCATGGATGCATTCCACATGCTGGTTAGCCCTCCACCGCCCGCCAAACTACTCCTATAGCATCGGTACGATGTCGGTGTGAGGGGCGACATCTCAAACACGCCCCTTCGTTGCTCCATGCCAACGGGAGGCTCGGGATGCCTGGACGACTCGGCTGGCGATTCGCTGATGCGCGTGATACGACCGCCCAAGGTCCTCCACGGCGCTGCAATAGTCATGGCTCTATCGAAACTAACTTCGCCGCTGTGCATCATCGCCTGCAGTGACCGTATGTCCAGAATCCACGTTCGACAGCGATCCCGTCTGACCGAGCGTCCTGACCGTCGTGTGGAGATGAATGGTGACTATTTTGGCGCAGAAAGGGCAATAGCTCCTTCCACGGAAGGCTGGGGGGCGTAGTACGGAGAGGACGGACGATACTCGGCACCGCTTTCCTCACCATTACACGATTATACGAGCCCCAACGACTCGTTACCGTCCTGCCCAGCCTATACCATTCACGGCACATCTATTAGCTTGGCCATGGCGCGCTGAGACGTACCGCGCTTCCACCACGCGTACATTACACCATGCATCATCTATCGTCGATTGACTCCATCGTTTGCCTTTCAACAACTGACCCTGCCGAGCAGTGCAGCTCCATGGATGTGCCTCTAGTGCATTTCATCATGCGCAGCAACCTGGCCACAAGACATCTGCGAAAACCACTCAGCCGAGACCAGCATATATGGTTGGCGCCAGCTTGAGCACGCAAGTCCTTGGCTGGCGCGCGATATGGCAGACTTTTTTTTACCATGCTCTCACGACCCTGTGCCCGAACGGTCGCGATCACGAAGTGCGATGGATGCAGCTTGGCTACGGCTCATTAATTCCGGTCTGCGACCGGCCTTAGCGGGCCAGCTGCAAAAGCAGAACGCGATAGACGCACACACTGCAACAAGTCTTATGCCGACTCAGGATCTTGTACCTCTTTGCCACACGAGTCCAGTGGGTCGAGTTTAGCCTTTCGACACGGCTTGCGGCGTCCTCAGATCCATATCCAGTTCCCCGCTCTCTTGTGCTGAAAGAAGTAGGTCAGACGGTTCCCAACGAATGAGCACTGCGCAACCCCACGCTCTAGAGCGAGCACGCCGTAATCAACCAGCGACCCAACCTCAAGGCCTCCGTACCCGGATGATGGATCCCTTGCTGTGCTTAGACGTGATCCTCTCGACATTTACCAAGGTATATTGTGACGCAACCACTTTGCACTCGGGCTGCAATACCGCTCGTCTGACAGTGTTACAGCATGCTGACCGGCCAGGACGTAATGCGGGAAGATAGGCTCTATCCAAGGGGTACCGATACTTGCTACTTCCCACCGGAGATTGAATGTGAATATGTACAAGGGCGTTGGTACCGATCCACGAGGCCATACTAGTCTGCCCGATGCACAGCTGACCCGTATCATCATCTATCCCGCGGCTGACACTGTCATGAAGGACAACAAGTCCCGTATGCGTTACGCCACAAGCTTCATTAACACATTAGCGAAGCCACTCACGCGCCAGTCAGCCAACCAACTTTGTGTGACCAAGTTGCACCTTATTATTACACCCCATGCTACCAAAGTATCATGCAGGAGGCTCCATCTATTTGCGCCAAAGACAATGCTTCCGAGGTCGGTAAACCCTCGCTATCTTTTCCAAATACAATACGTCAAACTAGCTCGCCAAGCTCAGGCTCTTCTTTACTTTATTGCCGGGCGAAACTCCTTCAAAGGCAAACGACTCGCAATTCGTCGGCTGCCTAGCGCTCGATTCGCACAACGATGTTCCAGCTTGGACATCTGGCGGTGCTTTCGACGCACGCGGCGAGTCATCGTGCCACCATCATGCAACAACCAACAAAGGCAACCGGCTAACACACTCCACACCTCCTTCCGTGCTCAGAAGCAACTCTGGATTGCCGTTCGAGGGGCCGATTGCAGCTAACCCTCTCAGACAATGCAAACGAACTCTGCGTCCTGTACGCACCTGCCGGAACGGATCCCAGGCCGCGCTTGCCCGTCTAGGTGCTGCAGTACATCGCTCAACACATACGGTTCAGCTGTCTTTGGAAAAGCTATGCATCGCTTCCTCACCTCAACGCGAGACATCCTCCGCACCACGTGCATGTCACCGAGCGGATTAGGACACCTTGGCTTGCGCCACTATGTGCAATCACAGTAGTGCGCGCCCTCCGGATCGACCTGTCGAGTTCTCGCTGCGCATCCCAAAGTGACTACTCAGCCTTGTGCAGGGACAAAGGGAAATGGGGCAGGCGCACGCAGCCGTTGACCCAAAGGATCCGTAAGACGTGCAGACAGTCTCACCGGCTCGCACAAGCGGAGTGCCGACCAACTGGATTCTATGCTGATTACGGACACGTCGCGGGGATTGACCACCGACACGAAGGCTTTTCATGTGCATCATCACCTTCCATCGTTCGTCTCTCACTGCAGCTACTAGTGTTGTGGCATGCTTTCAAAGGGATCACCTTCCCCGACTGCACTGCCTGACAGGTTCGGACTCCACACAGCTTATATCCCTGCCGGCATCCATCTATTAATCATGGCTTCATTGGACGACATGTCCCTGGTGCGAAAACGGAGATGCCATGGCACGCATGTTACCTGGTCGGGATTCCCGGGTTCCAACATAACAGGCATTGTCGTCGCCGATGGGTTCGAGATTGGGCTCCGCTATGTGAAAACGACCGTCGCCTGGGCCAGGAAGCTCGTCGATTCGGTCGTGTCGTAATAATAAAGTGCATGTTGGAAGCATGTCTGGTACATTTGATGTTGGTGTGCTAATGCAGTAAGATCCGGAGCATCTTCACAGCATGCTTCTCATTCGTTCGGGACCACATGTTGAAAGATACAGGTAACGAAATGATAGAACACTCGTATATCAGAGAAGGACACAGCCCAAGAAGGAAGGTAGCAGAATGTAGACGTGGTACAAGTCCATGTACACTGTGCTAGATACTAGTCAGCTTCACTCATCCATGTTTCCGCGAACACAGCTGCACCACTCTAGTCAGACAGATAGTCCCATATACCCAAACTTTTCACACCAGTTTCCACACATGATGATGCATCAGCGACTTTCCAAAGATACTTACTCACGTCACCTCATGCACTAACAAGCGTCTCCACCACATGACCATCATCTCAGATCTAACAAGAACCCCCATGTCTCAGCACAAATAGCATGCTCGAGCCACGTCGCAAATTCAATCGACGGTCGTGCCATGGAAACAGTGCGACATGTTTCATATCACTGCGATAGTAGTTGATGTTTGAAACGGGTATCGCATTGGCACAGATGGTTACGTTTGCTTCACTAACAAACACACCGCCACGATTCTTCAGCTTGGCCAAGAGGATGCGCATAGATACTGACGTCTTTGTTGTCCGTGTTGACGTTTGACTATCTAACTCAGCATTCGGCGTTGCTGCGCGGCCGCTGATGCCGAGTTGCACAGCCACGGCCTTAGGTTGCCCACCGGATGACGACTTCATTCTCACGATGGCTCACCCCCTCAATTACACACATGTGGCGGGGAAACAACATGTTGGTCAGCAAGGTAGGCGTCCAGGTCACCCTTGATGATATGTTCATGACGGATATGAGTCAATTCATGGCTAAGCACTGTGGGCCCACGCATTGTAGTGGTATATTTGCGGGACCAACTGATCGTTATACACATAGTATGATACATGCTCCAACGCCCTTCTCTAGAACAGCTTGTTATCCGCACTGGCCTTGGCTGCGTCTCTCCTCGCGCTCTGCTTCTTCCTGTCCTTTGCCTCGCCGGGCGGCTTGAAGAACAAAGACGGGCTCTCGCCATCCTTCATTGTGTAGTTCAAGTATCCTCTATGCGCTGGATCGCGGTAGTACTCGATGTCCTTTCTTGCCGTCGCATCAGGCAGCCTGTACTTGTATTTCGACCCGATCTGCTTCATGACAGCAACCATAGCCTCCTTCTTCTTTTCTTCGGCGGCCGTCTGGAGCGCAGTGATGATGGGAGAAGGGATCTTGGCGGCTGCGGAGCGCGCAGTGAGAGAGACGAGGTCTGGCGAGGCTTGGATAGAGATGGTGGGGTGTGAGTCGCCGCGGAGGACGCGCTTGATGGATGTGGGAGAGTAGAAGCGTGTGGTCACGCTGCCGCCAAGGGCTTCGATGCGTGCGATAGCGTCGGCAGAGGCGCGTGAGACGACGATGTGGATGGGTGTGGTCAATTGCTCTGGATTCTACGGCTACAATTAGTTTTGACATAGCAACCATCAATTGATTCCTTACCCTCGCGAGCAGCTTAACGCCATGCCTCTTGACACCGTGCAGACACCTCGACTTGGCCAATTCCTTCATAGTGATGGGCTTCTTCGGGTCCAACCTCCCCTGGTCAATCCAGCTCTGTATCCGGTCCAGATTTATGGGTGACATCTCGACCTTGAACGGGTTGTACTCCCCCCGCCCTCGCTCGGGGTTGGTAATCCATTGTGGTGTCTGACCTCCCTCGAAGCCCGCGGGGACTTTGCCGTGTGCATGCTGACCCTTCTGACCGCGTCCACCAGTCTTTCCCTTTCCCGAAGCGGGACCGCGACCTCGTCGGATCTTTTTATTGTAGGCGCCTGCGTTGTCGGAGAGCGAGGAAAGAATGGATGCGCATCTCTGCTGGGCGGGCACAAGGAGGGGGGCGACCGATGTCGCTGCGGGTGCTCTCAAGCATATGAACAGGAGAGATGAGGCGGCTCGGACCGCTCTTAGCCGTGGTGGCATGGCTGTGGATGGCTATCTTCCTGCTGGCGACGAGCTCGTTGGTGTTGAGCGAATGCGAAGATTCGATGATGAGTAAGCGGCCATGTCCGCGGGATCTAGCCTCATGCGGATGTTAACTTCTGCAACCACGCCGCATGTCCAATCGCTCCTCAACTCCACGCGTCAAAATGGTCTTCCAGCTCCCTCGCTTCAGCTCGTGCTAGAGACTGGCTGGAACCTTGTCTGAAATCAGCGAAAACCTCATTTTAAGGTCTATGACCGTAGATGAACCTTGACAATGGTTCGTCTTTTCCCGCCTCAGGGTGCAGGTGAGTTGACGACTACATCGAATTTTGCACACCAAATAGGTTCTCACTAATGAAAAGGTCTGCATCCTGCTATTCCCAAGACAGAAGAACCTGGTGTTGCAAATACTGCCACTGCATTGGTCTTATTAGGGCCAACAGCGGCAGCGACTCTGCTTCTGGGCCGGATGATCATCAGACGCCCTTTGCTGACTTTGCCGACGAAATCTGCGTACTTTGTTACCAGAGCAGGCTTTTATTCTCTTGCTCTTGCTGCGCCTCTGGCAGCTTGGTTGACGCACTGGGAAAGTCAGATCAGAAGAAGCATCCTTCATTATGAAGGAATCAATCTCCCAAAATCTCAGATATGGCAAAGCAGTCAGGGGTTTACGAGGGATGATTCTAATATTATTGGTGGAATAGGAGGTATGCTCCTTTCTTTCAGAATGAGGAGCTTACGGAGTCTCTCCATTGGACATCGCCTACTTGGTCGGCTCGGAGCCTTCTCGACTGGATTCTCGACTCCGCTCCTTGTGTCCGATATAACAGTATCGGTATCGGGAACATACCTTCAGGAGCGATCTGCACAAAGATCTCATTACGAGAAGGCTGTGGCATTGCGTAAACTCAACAACGACCCTGACTTCATCCAATCTTTACCCCCCAGGTCCCTACTCCCAGAGCGAATTTGGAAGAAGACTGCTCGAGCTGAACGGGTGGCAATGTCATTCGACTCTCTGACTGATGAGGAGAAGGCCTTGTTGCAGCCTACTATGGTATTCAGCTGGCTGGACACTTCGACCTACAATAGTATTCACAAGACGCCGGGGGGCGCTATACCTATGGACTGGAAATATCCAGAGAATGCATCAGCGGCAGAGAAGCGGGAGTATGTGCTCAAAGAGCTTCAGTTCGTTGCGAATATGCTCAAGCCATATGCACACAATAACAGCTTTGCGCTCCAAGGGAAGCCCATTCCGCGTCTCGAAAGCTTTAGTGTAGAATACGCTTCCTTAACTAGGACCTTGGTCACTCTGATGTATGGGATGCTTATACCAGAAGAAGGAAAGCCCGAGCCGCGGATGTACATTCACGATTGCCTAAGCGTAATTGATGCAGACAAGGGGGAAGATCATGTTCCGGTGGAGACTCTCGATTGCCTGCGCACGCTCAAGACGTTTTTCGAGAAAAGGAACCTGCCTGAGTATGTTGCGGGAATCGAAAACCTCATACGGGAATGTGAAGGGCGTGCTGCAAAGAATAAGGAAGCCAGGAGTGGTCGAAATACAATTGAGGGGTGAAACAAAGGGAGACAAGTCGTTGAAGACCATCGCGCTTTGTCATACGCAGCCGACGTTCGGCAGAATCAAGATATGTAGTTGTCTAGACTGAGCTTGCTTAATCCAGATGTTCGCTGGCGGATGTGATGCATAGAAGACTAATGTAATCAGGCTGCGAACTGCACTCATCACACACGCCCTAGCTTCGTTCGAGCAGTGAATGTACGATGTCTAATGCTACCCTTCACTACTGTGATGCGCACGAGATCAATCCATATCCGACCCTTTCCTTGAGCTACTCGCAATGTCCGCTCTCTCGTCGTTGATCGTAGCCACAACTGGAAGATACTCTCCAACAACAACTACCGCGAATACAGGTACGTATACCCACGATCGCACACCATATATGAACTCTATACCCCACAGTCTACCTAACCAGTAATAGAAGTAAACCAACGCCCACACAACAACCGCGATGTCTGGAAACAACGCCCCCGAAGATTGGCGGAAAGTCACAGGTATCGGCCACGGCAAGGACTGGGGCGCGCCAACCGCTTACCCCAAGAATGGGACTGCCTGGGGAAAGGCATTGAACCCATCAGCCAACAACAACGACACCAACAACGACAAGGCTTCGCCTGCTACACCTGCAAAGGGCTTGAACGCCGCGGCTCCATCCTTTACTCCTGGTGGAGGAACTGCGAAGAAGTAGTGGGTACGTCTACGAATGGAACAAGCCTGACTAGGACACAAGCTGAGATTCAAGCAAGAGGAAACAGCGTAGATGTTGGCGGCAGATATGACGTCGACATGACGGGCATGTGAGGTGTAGGTGCGACAATGTAGATTCCTATGTTACTGTTTGGCTGTATACTTGGAGGCTGGTGTAGTCATGTATTCGCCAAACGTTGGTATATTGGAATGTGAGCAGTAACATGTCAAGCGTTCAGTTAACGAAGGCCAGCGTGAACGTGTTTATGTATAGTACCAGAACTAGACTTGCCAACAGTACACATACTCACCATATCTCCCTATAAAGCTTCCTGTGCTCTTGCCAATAAGCTTCGCATACCACATCTCCCTGCACATAACAAACCCCATCTACAACAACAACCCCAAAAAACATGAGCAACAACCCCTTCTACAACAACGACCCCTTCAACGTCACCGGTCTCGGCCACGGCGCAGACTGGGGCACCAGACGCCCCTACGACGCTCGCTCCCACTCAGCCTGGGGCCCAGGCAGCGGCAGTCTCCAAGATTCATCTATTCCCTACCATACATCCTCAGACATGCGATACTTGGGTCCGTACATGTCATATCCTTTGGATCCAGACTCGCCGCGCGGAGGCTCTTGGTATGGCCCGTATGGGGGATCGCGATGGGGCGGAGGCGGGAGGAATGTAAGGTCTCCATCTCCACCCCGAGGCCAGGGTTACTATGATGATTTTGAAGAACATGGAGGAGAGCAATATGGTGGAGGTGGTTGGGGTGGGCGGGAGAGGTCGGGATCTCCGCCGCGAGGGGAGGGTTACTATGATGATTTTGATGAGTGGTGGTGAACGATGGTCCGTTGGGGAATGCATACATCATGGTCTGATGTGTGGTACTCTTATGTTAGCCAGAATTGTACCATCAAGGTGATAATTGCAGAATTTACCGTGTCAATTATGTGTTCGAGTCACCCAATGACGCGTGATGGCAAATACATGCTATGTTGTTGAACGTAAATGCCAACCATTCCTGGCACCTACTGATATCAGACTTGCCCCAATGGAGACCTGGTGTTGCAGGACGCAAAGAAACTCTGCCGAAAGTCCCGTTGGAAACGAACTGAGGGATGTTGCTACCGACATCTCATGAAGATGTGCTGGCTGCGTAAGCTTGCGGATGTCATCTCTTAATTCCATTTACACAAGCTTCTAAACACCGAGAGTCTTCTTCAAACGCCGTCGTAATACACCAGCCAAGATCTTGTCATGCATTGGGTTGAGCCTGCGGTTGCCTGTGACGGCAAATCCTATAGGACGCCTAAACCCAGCTTACAAATGTCCTCTTGGCAGAGCCTTCGCGACAATGTGATGCTCGACGGCTGTTGTCGTCATGAGAGGGAAGTTCTAGAGTGATCATACCACGGAGGCTGAGTATAAGAGGTAGCCGCGCATCGAATAGAAAGGCCCTATCGTACTTCGCCTCGTATAGCTCGCGGGATTTCCAGTTTGATCTCTGACAAGACCACTATGTCGCATCTCCAGTACTTCGACTATCCTGGCTTCGGTGGACGATCAAAACGGGATTTGAACTACAGCCAAGCGGTCCGCATCGATAACCGCATCGAGATATCCGGCCAAGGTACGTCGCCCACAGTATAGACCATCCAATCTTGACCATATCTAGGCGGCTGGGATCGCACGACCGAGGATTATCCAGAAGATCTTTCGAAGGAGGTTGACCAAGCTTTTGACAACGTCGAACATGCTTTTCATCAAGCTGGTGGGGAGGGCTGGGATCAGGTCTTCAAAACGCGCTTCTACGTTACCGTACCGATTGATGAGATTGCGGAGCCGATCATCCGGAATATGAAGGGAAGATGCAAGAATCATGGGCCTCTCATGACAGTGGTGCAGGTGGTGGCTTTGTATAAGACGATGAAGATTGAGATAGAAGCGGAGGCGCACTTGGGGTGATTTGCGCAGCAACCTTGGAAGCTTGGAGCGCCTTTCGTTCCTGGTAGAAATTCAGCGTATTTAAAGGAACTTACATACGTCAAGAATACGAAGCCCATGAGATGTGAGATGTGTATGTGAACGGCGCGCAAAGAGAGCCTCAGTGTCTGGTACTCCGTGTGGTCGCAGTACGTCATCGTCATCGTGGCTGCCCGCTAAGTGGGGCCATGGCTGCGCCACAGGTCATAACGATCACTCCAGGTAGCCTCTCTCTTCCAGTCTCGACGACGACTGAGACGCCACTAAGGTAGCATCGACAAATGAGAAGAGCTCCTTGTTCATCAATCGCGGCGTTGCAGATGCCAGAGAGCTTTCCGCGGCCATTCACCCGCCTGCTCGTGCGCCACGGAGGTCGTCATCGTCATCGCCATCCTTGACGACTATCGCGACTCCTTCTCAACACGACAATGCCAAATCGATTCCGGAGCAAGCTGGAGAATGCTGGAAGAAAGACGGGCAATTGCCTACGAACAGTGGTCTGGCAGACATCCAAATGCCTCATGTGGACAGTTTGCGCGCCATGCATCTGTTGCCTGCTAGTATTCCTGAGCCCTGGTCGACATGGCAGAAGACGAAATCTCTCGCACGAGATAGTACTACCAACGATGCCTACACCTCGCAGACGCGCACTTTCCATATCAGGGGACTTACAAGAGGACCAAAAGACGCTGGCCCAGCCTCGCTCAGCGCTTCTGAACAAACTGCCGTTG